ACTTGGGGCAGACAGACAGATCCTGGTGGGGAGAGTGCACCCCACGCACAGTCCTGGGAATGACTCTCTGTGTTGTGGGTGGAAAGGAAGGAGGTCATGACCCCAGGGAGATGTAAAAATGGCTCCCTGGCTGCCTCCTGAGTCACTGTGGTTCAGGCAACAGGAGTGGCCTTGCCCGACTCCCGAGCTGCCGCTCCTCTCCCTGTTACCTTGTGTCCTCCGGAGCCCTCAGGGTTTTCAGGCTCACATCCATGGCAGACCAGGGCTCAGGAGCTGATGAGAAACCCAAAAGTTGAGGGAGGGCCATTTGGTGCTCCACTTCTCTCCCAGTGCAAAACCCCTCCTCTACACACTTGCTTTCTCTTAGTGTTCTTGCTTCCCGGCACGTCCAGGCACTCATCTCAGGATCCAGGCACGTGAGGCTCCCACTCTGGCCATGGACAAAATGATCTTCCTGGCAGAAAAAAAAAAAAAAACAGAAAGACGAGCAGGATAAAAAGTCCCTCCTCCACCCCACAAGTATATCCAGGAACAAACAAATCGAAAAAAAAGGAGAATGGAAGAAAGGAAACTGGATACAAGAGGAGGAACCCTCTGCCCCCCCAAATTAATTGACCATAGGTTCACAATTTGACCCAACTGGAAAACCAAGAGTTACTAAAATAATTTATGTGACGAAAGATAAAAGGAGGCTGATTGGCTTTTGTGCCTCTACAACATAGGTTCTGAATTAACTTTAATGTCTGCTAAGATGCACCAGGTGGCTAACCTTCAGAAACTTAATACGAGGGCTCAAATTATGGTTATACCTACTAAAATAACCCTATTTTCTAGCTTCTGTATTTAATGCTTTGATATCTCAGGCCTTGCTCACTTTGGAGGGACTGTCCCTGGCAGGCTTGGTCAACAGCTTGCCTGTGAGCACACCTTTCACATGTAAACCAACCGATACAGAGCCTTTACCCCCAAGCACCTCCTCTAAGAAGCTTTTACACTCAGGCCACTATCCCCTGCTCTGATTGCCTGAGGGACAGGGACAGACTACTCCAGATACCACTATGGCCTGGAGCCCACTGAAATTATTCAAATTAGCCAGTCTTAAGCCTGCTTACCCTGCCTCACCTGCCCCTTCCCATGGAAACCACAAGAAAGGGTCTTGCCCACATTTTCCCTTCACTCCCTTTCTCCTGACCAACACTGGTGCTTCGTGGGTGGCCCTGCATGGCTCTCAGGACCTCCTTTCTTGGGATCTGTGAGTCTACAAAACTTCTTCCATTGTGACAGTTATTTCTATATCTTCCTGGTCCCCTTCAAACATCTGAGACCCCTAGGGGTGCCTGGGTGGCTCAGTCGGTTAAGCTTTTGGCTGAGATCATGATCTCAGGATCAAGGGTCAAGCCTCCTGTTGGGCTCCTTGTGCGGGGTGCTGTTGGCTTGAGATTCTCTCTCCCTCTGCCCCTTCTTTCCCCCTGCCCCCGCTTGTGCTCTTTTTCTCTCATTACAATAAATAAATAAGTAAATAAATAAATAAATAAATAAATAAATAAAACCTTAAATAAAAAAAGCCCACCCGGAATCCCAACTAATTTAAACATGGTGAATATTTTGCAATTATAGATTTTCCAATATGTTCTGTTTAGTGCCTATTTCAACATCCTCTCAGTCACATGTGCCTTGACCTTGAAGGGGACACATTTTACCTTGTTAAGCACAGGGCACACAAACCGCTCTATGACACGCAATCTTTGCAGGCAGGATCTTATTGCACCCATCCTTCTCCAAGAACAAAGGTACGACATCACATTTATGACATCCTACTATGAGGACATTGTTTGACACATTTGTTAAGGACATACAACTGCAGGGGGCGACTGGGTGGCTCTGTCCCTTAAGTGTCTGCCTTGGCTCAGGGTGTGATCCCAGGGTCCTGGGATCCAGTCCTACTTCGGATCCCTGCTCAGTGGGAAGCGTGCTTCTCCCTCTCCCTCTGCCCCTACCAGGCCTTGTGCTCTCACTCTCGTGCTCTCTCTCAATTAACTAAATAAAATCTTTTAAAAGAAAAAAGGACATACAAGTCCAAAGTCTTTCAGTATTTTTTCGGTTCTGGAGGTGACATAGTCCTTGTTTATAAATTTTACATAAGCCCGTTTAGGCTGTTACTGGTCCATGAGCCCAGGTTGGGTAGGGCTCCCCTCAACAAAAGGCTCTAGGATCTGTCCAAGTTAAAATCACCTTTTGGGGGGGCGACTGGGTGGCTCAATTGGTGAAGCATCTGCCTTTGGCTCAGGTCATGATCTCAGGGTCCTGAGATGAAGCGCAGCATGGGGCTCCCTGCTCAGTGGGGAGACTGCTTCTCCTTCTGCCTTTGACCCCCTCCTCCAGCTCCAGCTCCAGCTCTCTCTCAAGTACCTAAATAAAATCTTTTAAAAAAATATCACCCATTATTTCCCTAAGTGAAAAGGCTTTAGCAAGCACCTCTCCAGTTTCCTGGAATCCCTGGAATTGTCCATGGGCTCCCGATGCAAGAAACAGCCCTCCTTGGCCCTGGGTTATAGACCATGAAAGAGGCACTTGTTGGCCGTGCACTGGGCTCTTCTGGACACAGTGTCTCTCACAGACTCTGAGCCTTTATATCCCGCTGTCTGTTACTCCTTGGGTCATGGTACCCCACCAGCTTAATGTAGTTACCAAGGCCTTCTTGCTACAGACTGAACCAGTCTGCATATCCAACCTGCTTGTGTCCACAGTCCTTTGCCAGATTCTGTGGTGCAGAGGATGTCAGCCTTACCCTCTGTCCCTTGGCTACCTAAGGATTCCCTTGGGATCAACTGAGTGACCATCAATGGCACTTGACACATTTTGGTTTTGACGCCATCTCTCCTTCCTGGTCAGGTGCCAACCATACTTCCTAGAGAAGCACTTGTCCTAGTCCTTAAAAGTCTCAGTCCCAGGTTGAAAATGATGTGGACATATCAGAGTCCACTGTGATGGAGAGCATGAGATTAAGATTCAATAGGAAGTGTTGTCTTGGCATCGGGGAACATCAGAGGGCCTCTAATGGCCTTACTCTAAGTTCCCTTCGACCTCTGCTCCTACAGATCAGGTCTCCTGGTCAAACAGCCCTCCTTATCCCAGGGACCAGGCACAGTTTCTCCTCAAGTAGTAAGGTCCAGTTCCCTGACAGCCTGTGGAATTATGCAGCAAGCCAGTCATGCCCTCCTGCAGGAAGTAGGGCTCACCTTCACTGTCTTGTTACTCCAAGGTCTGACCCCCACAGCCCTTGTTCATTCTGCTCCCAGGTGCACCCCCTTGTGGCCCTGCACGGTATGGACCATAAGTACACATGGGTTATAAATTACTGTGTAGCTCATCTGTTCAGTATCCGGGCATCCCATTACATTAGGGTGGGAATCACTCCCTTCACCAATGGGTGAAGAGGAGAAAAATGAAATCCTTCTGCTCTGTACCTTTGTCAAAGCACAATGATGAGGCTCATGGACTTGAAGTTATTTGGATAATAATCTATTTGAGGCTTGTAAAAATTCACTGGGTCTAAAGGGTGGCCTGTATGTGAATGATGAGCAGGAGGGAAGGCTGCAAAAGCAAGGGCTTGGATGGTCTCTTAAAGGTCGAACTCCAGGCAATGGGGAACCCTCAAATAATTACAGCAGGGAAGTAACATCAGATTTTCATCTCACTTCGTCCTAACAGCAGCGTGGAGAATGGATGCAAGGGAGGCAGAGAGTGGAACCAGCAAGATCGGTAGGCAGTCTATTGTCTGTTCAAGAGACAGGAATGGGTGAACCAGAACACTGGCAACAGAAAGGGAGGGACGGATTTAAGATATTTGGCAGGTTGAAGATACAGCAGAATGGAAAATTAATGGAATGGAATGAGGTGTTTAAAGAAGTCTGAATGGGGGGGCACCTGGGTGGCTTAGTCGGTTTAGCATCTGCCTTCAGCTCAGGTCATGCTCTCAGCGACCTGGGATTTAAGCACCACATCAGGCTCCCTGCTCACCAGGGGGGCCTGCTTCTCCCTCACCCTCTGCCACCCGCCCACCCGCCTGTGCTCTCCTGCTCTCTCTGTCAAATAAATAAATAAAATTAAAAAAAGAAGAAGAAGAAAAGAAGTCTGAATGGATCATTTCCAGAGTACAGTGGTGTAATTAGCCTGGAACTGCAAATGAAGATTTGGAGTGGCTTTTGAGGAAATGAACAAGGGAGTTGACCATGGACATTTGAAGTAAAAACCCATCAAATACTGATCAATAGGAGCTAGTTAAGTAATTTAGGGTATATCCATTAATGCCTGCATTTCCTTTTAAAGAATAAATTGGAATTCATTCACATTTGTAAAGATCTCGAAGGCAGAGTGATTTTTTTTTTTGAAAAAAGCAAGTCAGAGAATACTATATGCCCAAATAGACAAATACACATATATTTCTAAAGGCCTGAGAGAAATCAGGTTACCCATGAAGTGGATTCCCAGGCAACATAAAATGATTAAAAATAAAAAAAAGGAGAAAGAGAAATGGGACATAGATGGGAAAATCAAACTTGCACTTTTTGAAAAAATGTATTTATCTTAAACTTTCATGCTATAAACCTAGTTTCTCAAACAAGACGTGGGTGCTCGTGTATTCGATAAGTTTGGAACATTAAGAAGTTTATGTTTTCCTTACCGAAGGTATATGTAGATATGTGCTCCTTATGAAAACATCAGCGGATTACAGACAATACTGGAAGTACCATTGACCACAGCCTCCAACCCCACCAATGTCTACTCTCATGAGAAATAAGCACCATTTTCAGTTTGGTGAATACCTCTGCAGTCTCCAAAAGACCCTTTTTTTGTTAACTCATAAAAGAATATTTTTATTAGGCTGAAAGCAAAACTTCTAATAGTACGTTTTGCAAAAGGACATTTTGGGATAAGGTAAACACATGGAGTGACTTGGTGTCTTCGGAGCGCTGTCTCGTCTCGGGCTTGAGAATCCTCTATTTCTTGGAGATGCATTTGGCCACCATTCCAACCTTCTTGGCAGGTGACAGTATTTGGGGCATGTATGTGGGGAAAGCATCAGTGATGGCATTTAGCAGAAGGTGCTCCGATCGATCTGTTTCTGGTCCAGATGGGGTAATAAGAGATACAGCTGTGGTGCGGGGCTTCACATCTTTTTTCCAGGGTGTGGATCCTAGGGTAGTGTTCAGACGTGGTGGGCCTTTTTTCATAGCCAGTTTTCCCCTTCCTCCGGAATCTGGGGGCTTCCCGTCATGAACAGAGGGTTTTGGTGGTGGCAAAGCTGAATGAGATCCCGCTTCTAGAAACTGGACGAAAAGTCCTGAAAAAGAATTCTTGGCCATAGGTCCGTGATCTGGCTTCACACATGTGTTGGGGGCGCTTTTGGGTCCAGGCCCCCGAATCATCCAGCTGGTAACACCACCTGGGCCTTCACTGAAGAGCTGCCACATCTGGTCTTCTCTGATCCCCAGCATGCTTCCCATCAACCTTAACGCTTCCTGCCGTTCGGCATCAGGTGCTTGGAAAGATCCCAGGAAGAGTCTCCTTAGGAGCGTTTTGTCCACCATTCCTTTGGACTTACTAAGTTCATCAGTTTCTTCTGTGTGTCCTCCAGGATTTCCTGCTGGACCTCATTCTGTTTCTTGAATTCTTGGAGTTGGTCTTCCTTCAGCTCCAAGTCAGCATTTGTTTTATGGAATCATCCCTGTAATGACTTCAGTTTTCCTTCTAGGCTGTCTGCCTTTTCCATCCATTTGGCGAGTTCCAACTTGAGGTCAGCTAGGATGTGACCACACTGCTTTCCTTCTTCCTGGGAGGCAGCAAGCTGGAGCATGGTGTCCTCTTTCTGCTGGGTCACCACGTGCAGTTGCTCCTGCAGCGACTCTACCTGCAGACTGGCTCCACGGCTTGCATTTTCCATGGCAGTGGATGACACAACGAATTTTCCCTGCAAGACCGTCACTTCTTTCCTGAGTTGAGCCACTTTGTCTTCTGAGGCCAGAGCTTCCCGGCGATGAGCGTCTTCAGCTTCTAGAGCCAGGTGTTGCTGTCTCTCCAGCTCCTGGGTTAGGCGTAATTCACTCTCACGTAAATGGTGAACCTCCTTCTGGAGGGCACAGGTTTCCATTTGTTTCTGTTTCAGGGCCAACAGGGCTTCATCTCTCTCCTGTTAGCACAGAACTGTCTTTTCCTGCATTGATGTTACTGCACTGACAAGCCGGTTCACTTCCTCGGTCTCCTGCTCTTCTCTCTCCTGCAATAGTTCCTCCAAAGCAAGTGCCTTCCCTTTCATCGCAGCACCCTGGGATTCCTCCTCTCTCCGCATCACTGAAAGCAGCCTATCTGTCTCTTGCGATGCCTGATTTCCCACTTCCTTTCCTCTAGAGGTTTCCATGACTTTTTCATTTTCCTCCCTCAGTTGACAAACATCCATTTCAAACTCTGCTATTCTCTCCTTCAGATTGGTGACCGTCTGCCTCAAAAGTTCATTTTCACTCACTTGGCTACTGAAGTTCTCCTGTAAAGAAAGCAATTCCTCACTTTTCGCTTGGATTCAGAGCTCCTGATCCTGAAGGAAGTTTTGTAGAACAGGCTGTTTCTCCTTCAGCGGCTCGATGTCGGAATTCCCTGTGTTCCTGATGTTGGCCTTCTACTTCCCTCGTGGCCGCCACTGAATCAATCCATCTCTTCTTATCTTCCCAGAGGGTTCGAATCATTGTATCTTTTTCTTGCATTGATTTTCTTAGCTCTTCTACCTCCTCTTGGCGCAACTGAGAAGCCTCACTCGCTCTGTCAGATTTCATGGCCTCTAGAGAGTCCGCTGACTCCAAGGAGTCAGTGGAGGGCTGGAGGAAAATCACATCCAGTTTCCCTAGAAAGAGATCCTTGGCATTGCAAAGCTCCCTGATGCTGAGCTGAATTTGTGCCAGTTCCTTCTCTAAATGTTGTAATTGTACTTCATTGCCTTTGTACATTTGCATCAGGTCACTAGAGGTTGTCTGTAGTTCAGAATCCTTCTTGCTGCTGGTAAAAGCCGGCGCCTGGAGTTGTGCCAGATCTCTCTGAAGCTGGGATGATTCACGCTTCATATTTTGGACTGTGGTCATCACCTGCTGTTTCCACTCTTCCATGATCTTCACTCGCTGTTTTAATGTGTCCCGTTCCTGTAGGAGCTGCTTCAACTGATCCATATTAACTCCTTGAACCTTATTACCAGTGCTGGATGGTTGCAGGAGTGTCAATAAAGTCTGACATTTCTGACTTAACGCATCCACTTCGAGGTCTTTTTCTCGAACAACGTGTGATAAATTCTGAATCATTTCTCTAAACATCTCCTGACCACTACTCTCAATTCTAGTGGACAGTTTTTGATTTTCCTCTTGCATCCTCTGGAGGTCTGCTTCTGTGGCAGCAATTCTATCTGCCATTTTGTCATATTCTGTCTTCAGATTGCTGTTCTCCCTCGTTTTCTCATTTAAGGCAGCCAAGACCTGTTCGCTTTTCCAAGCATACTCTTGCAATTGCCGCTGAAGTCGCTCCACGTCCCTGTTCTGGCTGTGAGAAGCCGCAGAGACCCTGCTGGAAAGACCCTGAATCTCCAAATCTTTCTGCTGGATGATCTGAGTTAGTTTACCAATCTCCTCTTTGGAGAGCTGATCTGTTCTGTCAGTCGGATGTTCTGTTCAGTTAGAAACTTCATCTCCAGTTCATGTTCTTTGATTCCTAGGACGAATCTTTGAGTTTCGGCTTCAGATGAATCAAGCTTTTCACTTCCGTTTTCTCTAGGAAGAGGCTGACTTGTTGTGACTTCCACATCATCACAGTCTTGTGTTGGAATGTGCTGGCTTTTGTCAGGCAGCCGGGCTTTCATCTGTTCTATCGTGTCCTGCAAATTCTGAATCTCCTCATCTTTTGCTGAAAGGAGCTGAGCGTGTTCAATAGTCATCTGCTCCTGCTGGTATTGGAGATGGTCCACTTTCCGCTTCTGCTCTTGTAAAGAATGAAGTAGTACTATCTTCCCCTGCTGTTGGTTGTGAATGATCTTCTGTTGCTCCCTGATTTCCTCCTCGAGATCGTCTTTTAACTCCTGGAGTTGAAACACCTCACACTCTAGTTCTATGATCTCGTCTAGGATTTTAGGGTCGACCGCAGGTACAGAGCGACTCTGTTGTCTTGGGCTCTCCAGTTCTTCTCCCAGATGATGATTTTCGTCTGTCACGGATGGGAGACACCTGTCTTTGTCCTCCACGGATGGCTGGAAAATGTCATTGCCTCTGAAGGTTTGGGTAGACTGACCGAATTCCTCCTGAAGCTCTGCACTTCCTGTAAGTTCTTCAATATACGTCTCTTTCTCTTTAATGAGTTGTGTCAATCGCTTCTGCTCCTCCAAAGCAGAGGACAACATTTCCTTCGTTCCTTTATGGTCGGCGTCCATCTGCTCGATCCTCTTTTTGAGGTGTACTATTTCCAGGTCTTTCTCTTGACTGTGTTGAATGAAATGCGCATGCTCTAAAGGGGACCATTCTTTGATAGTTTGCTCATACTTGTTCGTTTTCTCCAACAGCTTCTTTTCCGCCCGAGACAATTTTGCTATTAACCGTCCTTTTTCTCTTTTTAAAGCCCTCACAGCAGTGTTGTTTTCCAGAGAATCCTCGTTGTTCCGGAGAATAGATTCTTCCAGCTGATGTCTTACATCCTGGAGCGCCAAAACCAACTTTTGGTTTTCTGCTCTGAGATCAGAAACAACGTTGTTTAAATTGTCATTCAGCCGCTCCATTTCTGCAAGTTGTTGCTTCAACCTTCTAAGCTCAGTTTCCCTTTCTTGAAGTAAGTCATCTTTCCCATGTCCAGGAGAGGGTTGATCTTGCAGGTCTTCTATCCGTTTTTCATACTCGAGGAGTTGTTTGCAGTGCCTGTCCCTGACGTCGGCCAGTTTTTCTTGATGGACACTGAGCAGTGTCGCAACTCCGAGTTGATGTTCCAAAATCTTCCTCATCCGCCGCTCTTCTAGGTCCCTGATGGTGCTCTTCAGTTTCCAGATGGCATTGGAGTCTGAGCTATTTGGTCCCTTGGACGAACGTTTCCAAAGTGTAAGCTCAGCCTCCAGTGTTTCGATCTCATTGAGGAGTCTATTGATTTGTGTCTGAGATGATATGACATCAGCAAAGTCCATCGTGAGATCCGAGTTGTAGCCGGTGAAGGAAGTCTCACTGCCATCCCCTCCCCGCTGGGAATGGCCTAGGCCAGAGCCCAGGCCACCAACCCAGGAGCACATCTTCGCGGGTCATGCAACTGTCGTGGTCTGCTGTGGAAAAGCGTCCAGCGCAGTGGGACTACCCCGCCAAGTGTCCCAGGACCCCTGCCTGCGCCAGGCTATAAATCAGAAGACAATGGGCGTTTCTAGGCAACAGCTGCGTGGGCCCGGGCCCCGCCTCCCCCGCGCAGGCCAGGTTGCTAGCAGATGCCAAGGCCTTGGGCCTTCCCAAGGCCGACTCTGGCCACTGGTCCCGGTTCCAGCCGCTCAGCCCCACGACTTCCCACCCAGGCCTGGGCCCCTTCCCCTTCTCCCCCTGCTTCCTGGCTGTCCTGGGTGGGTCCCTAGTGAGTGCTCCTGCCTGACTGCCCCCAGGTGCCCGCTCACAGAAAATGCATCTGGCCCTGGACTTTCCCCTTAAGGTACACAAACTCCTGCAGCTTGTGCTTTCCACACAACAGTATCTTTTTAATCGAGGTGAATAGTACACAGTCACATGCATCCATTCACCTAGGAGAGCAGATCCGAGGTGCATTTGACAAATATCTATACCTGTGCAGAGGCCCGGCCCTCCAGGAGACTTTGGGCATTTCCAGCCTCCCGAGCCTCCAGAGTGTTCTGTCCCTCCATGCCTTGCCAGCCCTGCGGACGGTGCGTCTCAGACCTAGGTTTGGCGATTCACCGGAGGCTCCGGGCGCAGAGGTGTGCAGCCTAGACCAGGCAGGGGGTCGCGGGCGGCTGTGATGGTGGTGCGGGATAGGGGACCTCCGGGTCCTGCACAGGGCGGCCCCGGGGTTCCCGACATGGTTGGAGGCGGGGCTGGGAACCGCGTCCCGGGTCTGGCCCCCCAAGGCCCGGACCTGCCGCGCCACTGGATGAGAGGCGGCGAGGGCGGGGCGCTGGCCCCAGAGCCGCTTCCACTGCCCCCTCGGATGGCCGTGAAGCGATGTCGCCCCCGCCGCTCCAGGGCAATTCCTCCAGCTGCCCGGCCCTGGCCCTGCAGGCCACCACCGCCGCCAGGAAGAAGCAATCCAACTGCGTGAAGCAGCTGACCAACCAGACCCTGGGCAGGCGAGTGCCTCGATCCGGGTCGGCAGGAGCCCGGACCAGTGTCGGGCGCGGGAGGGCCGGCTGCTCTCCTGGTCGCGCGCTCTGGTCCCTTGCGGCGCCGCGCATCAGGCCTCGGGGTTCAGGCTTGGGGCAGCGCCAGGCCATGACCTGGAGCCTGGCCCAGTGCCACTGCCCGAAACCACGGGGAGCGGCGGGGTTGGTCCCCGCCTGTCCCCGTCGCCCTCTGTCCAGGCCCCGCCCACCATCGCCCTGGGGGTGATTGGACCTGACCCTTCCCCTGCCCTCCCCGGGGTTTGCCCTGGGCGAAAACTCGGGTAACCAGTGAGCCCCAGGCCAAACAGACGCTGTGCTCTGCGGGCGAAGATCTCAGGCTTTCCGGGTCACCCCGCTCTGCAGACCCTCCCACCTCCCAGCGCCTGATGGCACTAAATAAGTAAGGGTCGATCAGAGCCCATCGGATATGCCTAGGAGGTTCAGGCGTCCATCCAGGGACTGTACAGGTGCCGCTGTCTCCAAACCCGGGCCCCTATGGACCGGCCTGCCCAAGATCTTGACATTGAGAAACTGGGAACTGGGAGGAAAGAACTGTGGAAACGACTTGGGACGACTTTTAGTCTATTTTAATTTTGAATAGTTTTTTTTTTTTTTTAATTTTGAATAGCTTTTTAAAAAGCCTTTCTCCCTTTGGATTTGGAAGCCGATTCTTCTCCAAGTTTCGTTGGGACTGCTTTAATGCTTGACAGGAAACATTATCGATTATGAAATGACAAACAGACCAGAATTTGTAGACCATCAGGCTGTTGCAACAGGAACTATCGGTGGTTTTGAGAGCTCCTGGAGGTGACTGTGATGTGCCCCGTTATCTGGGGCACATACTTCAACGCCTCGAGGGCAGTTGGCTCTACTGGACCTACTCTTTATTCTCGGAGAGATATGAAAGTGTGAGTTTTCCACAGCTTTTGCTTTTTTTCCCCAATAGTTGGGTCAAAGGGGGAGTTTGGTTTGACCAAAGCACATGTGTGAATGGCATGCCCATCCTGTATGTTATCCATTCATAGAGCATTGCAAGGACACGTACTCAAGATCGAGGACCTTGTGAGCAACCCCACAGTGAGGTTCCGTGTGACGAACATGGGGGAGAATCAGGAATAGCTGGAAGGAGGGAGTCTTCATGATGCGATGTATTTCCAATGGGAGGATGGGTGTGTTTCAGCAGACGTTTTGTGTATCACAGGCACCACGCTAATGTGGTGGTCTCATGACAGGGGTGTCCCAGAGAAGAGAATTAGGATGGTTGATTGATTCATCAAGGGGCACTTGTTGAGCCCACACTGTGTGCCACTGTTCAAGGTATTAAGGATTCAAGAGTGAACACAACCCAGTTTCTGCCCTGAAGGGGCTCAGTACATTTGTGGAAGAGATAGACAAACAAGAAATAATTATAGACCATGAGATAAGTGCTTAGAGAGGGATTGCTACTACAGTGTGCAACACTCCGCTCTCAGTGAATGGGGAGAAGTACTAAACCCAGATCAGCAAACCAGGAGAAAACTGGAGCAGAGCCTTTCCCCCCATCTGTAAGCACTTCTTTCAACTTTCTCTCCTAATCAGGTCTCTTTTGCTTGTAAGAGAACCCAACCCGAATTGCCTTAGGCCAAGACGGGAATTTTTTTTTCTTAAAGACTTTACTTATTTGACAGAGGGAGAGAGATAGAGAGAGAGCACAAATAGGAGGAGCGGCAGGCAGAGGGAGAGGGAGAAGCAGGCTCCCCGCTGAGTAGGGCTCCCGATGCGGGCTCGATCCCAGGACCCTGAGATCATGACCTGAGCCGAAGGCAGCCGCTTAACCAACTGATCTACCCAGGTGCCCTCAAGATGGAAATTTCATTAGCTCATGTGTGACCACAGAGTCCTAAAGGTATGGCTGCAGCCAGGGTTGGATCCAGGGGTTCCCCTCCTACATAGGCTGTGTCCACAAGGGGACACCCCTGCCCCCACCCAGTTTTCCCTCCTCCTCAGTTCTAGTCCCAGAGGGACAGAGACTACTTTTCACTGTGGCCAGAGCCCCAGAGTTGACTCTGAATGTGTCCAGCTGGGTCCAATGCCTTGCCCTGGAAATGGGAATGGAGTCAGCCCCACCCAAACCACAGGGACTGGGAATGGGGGACTGCTGGCCCCCCCAGAGAACACTGGGTGCTGTTACCAGCAGGAGGTGAGAAGGAGTGCTGGTCAGGATACAGTAAGTAGCACGTCCTGTCTTTTGTAATCCTGCTCTAAAAAGAAAGAGGTATTTTGAAAATCCCCAGTGCAGACAGATAATCCATCAGAGGCAGGTGGTACTTTTGGGGGAGTGATAGCCTCAGTGGAGGAAGGTGTATACCAGGTGAGGAAACCCAGGAACGTTGAGTTGTGAGGTAAAAGTGTCAAGGAGCAAAAGAATCTGAGCCACCACCTAGGAGAGTGATGACCTAGGTGAAGAGAGTGATGACCTAGGTGAGGCTCTGCAAGGGAGTGTCTCTTTGGGTGTCGGTTTGTGCCAAGGTTGAAGTACTACTCCCTGCAGGTCTGAATGCTTTCCTAGATAGTAGCCTTTAGAGAAGTCAAGGTTACAGACTCCACGCTAGTGAAAGCAGAGTGACTTAGAACAGCTGAGGGCCAAGGGGGACCTCGCCAGTGTTTGTCTCAACAGAGGGGCATGTGGGAATATGGGCCTAGTACGGCCTGACCTTGGAGTTTTTGAAAAAGGCCTGAAATCTGGATTTTCATGAAAATCAGGTGGCATTTAATGGAAATTAAACCACCACCATGACACGATGTGGGGTTCAACAGAATCTGTCCATGGCCAGACCTGGTCTGTGTGTGTGGGTCACCAGTTGGCACTTCCGTGTGTAAAAGGATCGGGAGGTGAAGGATTCCTGTGACAATTTTCCTTTTCTCTCCTGTACCTTACCCTGATACCACTGCACTCTCAGGTCTTGGATTCGTGGAAGAGCTTGTTCTTTCCTTTTCAGAAATCTTTCAAAGATCTGATAGTCATACTTGTCAGTACTTCTCTAGTGGGTTAGCTTCCCAAGTGCTGTCCCAGAGCACCTGGCTTGGTTCTCGCTGACTGGTGCGTATCATGTCTAGGTTATGAGGAAGGAAAAATGGCTTGCTCAGTATGCCCAGCTACTCAGTGGCCAAGGCAGGACTCAGGGCCAGGGCTTTGGACTCTGGATCCCACGTATTTCTGAGGACAGACCCTGGGCCGGCTGTCTTTTCACCTGATTCACCAGGAAAGGGTTAATGTGGATTCAGTGCCTTTGGTGCTGGCTGAGCTGCTGGGCTAGAGGCTTTGCATAAGTGATCTCACTGCCTTCTCCACAGCAAGTCCCAGAGGTGATGTTATTTATTCCTGGTTGAATGATGAGGAAGGGAGGCTTGAAAAGAGGTCATCGGGCTAATTCATGGCAGACCTGTCATGAACCAGAAACCAGGTCTGGGATTCCAAATCAGCTGTAAGTCCGGACTTCACGTGGGCAACTCTTCTTGGAGAAACCCCGTTTTGGAGTTATGTGGGATGCTTTCATAAATCCTGGAAGCTCAGAGTTGGATGTTGCTCTAGTCCAGTAGCTCCTACCAGGGATGGTCCCCCAGGGGCATGTGGCTATGTCCGGAGACATGTTTGTTGGTAGGACTTGGGTTGGGGGGCAGGGTACTCCCAGGATCTGCTGAGAGAGGCCAGGGATACTGCTGACCATCCTACCACGCACAGGACCGCCTCGCCACACAGAATGATCTGGTCCTAAATGTCAAGAGTGTTGATGAAGAGTGTTGTGGTTGGGAAACCCTGGTCTAGTCCTTTTACATTCTCGATATGTGAATGGTCAAAACCGAAGACCTACACTGTTTGATTGCAGGGCATCGATGTGTTCTGTTTGGTCAATTGCTTATATCTGAGAACCTAATTT